GCGCGACGGCCCTTTGCCCGCTCTTTCAGCGCAAAGGCAGGCGTCGCTCTGTTGCCAGACGATGCTTTCGGTTGCTAGCCCTTCACTGGGGCGGGCTGGCTGCCGGATATAGGTAGGAAGCATTGCAGCCTCGGTTAGGAAAGGTCTGGCCATCTTGAGCTGAATGCTCTTGATTACAGAGTCGTGTTTTTCTTGCATCTCTGTTGCCTCACCAAAGCTCTTGAGGACAGGAGAAAATAACTAAGATGTTCTCAAAGCACCCCCCATCCCCCTCCCTGGCTCCAATGGGTTTGGCGGTTTGGGATTGTGGGTTGGGTGAACCCAGGAAATTGGGTTATTTCATTTAACCAAGGGCTAGCAGTTTGAAGCATCCCTTACCAACCCAAAGCCTTCAGTTGCACCAAGAGCAAGAAATGACAGGGTTGACTCCCCCCCCCCCCAAAGTCTATAACCAGCGTTGAGATGCAGGATAAAACTAAAGAGATGCACGTTGAGGCAAAAAAATCAGACCTCACAGACGCATTGATGCAGGGTGAGCTGGGTGTAACCAACCAATCTGGAAAAGCATTTTGAGGTCATAGGTGATAAGTCAGAGAAGATGTATTCGGTGTACTGAAGCTAAGAAAAAGGCGAATTCCATGATAGGGACCATTTGGAAAGTGATTGAAAATAAAACTCCTAACACTGTAATTCCTTTATACAAATTAATGATACAAGTGCATCTGGAATACTGTACAGAATCTTGGTTGCCTTATTTGATAAGGATATATTAGAACTGAAAAAAGTGCAGAAGAGGGCAACCAAAATGATTGGGGGGAGGGGTTGACTACTTTCTATACAAGAAAAAGCTAGAATGTTTAAGACTTATGACTTGGAAAAAATGCAAAGGGGGACATTATATTGAAATGTATAAAATCATTCATGGGATGGAGAAAGTAGAGAGGCAGATTTTTTTTACCTCTGTCAAACATTAGAATCAGAAGCTTAAATATAGACTAATGCTTAGGAAGGAGTGAGAGTTTAAAATGATCAAAAGCTTGAGAAATACAATTTACTGTACAGTGTTAGATATATGTATGAAAGACAGATCTACGAAGGCTATGATCTTGAAGACTTAATGTTATCTCTGAGTTGGGAGATCATGCCTCCAAATACTAGTCACAGGAGAATAACAGCTGGATATGGATACATCTCTCTTTCCTAATTGCAAGCAAACCAGAGGTATCTGGGTAGCTACTGTGAGAAATGCGATGCTGGATTAAAGGGGCTTTGGCTTGATCCAGCAGGTCTATTTTGTGATCCTTCAGATAGTTTTAAGGTAAAGTTCCCAGGTATAATAATGTGGACTGAAAGATCAGAATGGGTTGGCAAGTTTAAGCAATACAATTTATACATATGTTATATATAAATTTTCAAAAATAACTTTCACTGAATTCAGTAGGATGTAACCTGGATAATTGTGCATAGAACTGCATCCTTATTTGTATATCCATTTGATAGTTTATAAATGCATATACGGTTTAAGTTACAGTTCAGCCCTAAGTGGTCAAGAGCAAGCTAAAACAGTATTAGATTGGCTGAAGCTGTAAAGCATCCTAACTCAATCATTTCTGAGTGTGTGTGTAGATAGAGTAGAGAGCAAATTATATACTCGAGTTCTCATTAGAATGTTGTGAAAATGAATTAAGAGTGGCTTGATTCTCTGCCAGCCCGGACAACACATCCCAGGACCAGTGGGGTTCCTGGGTTCTGAGAGTTTTTCAACTCTTCACCATTATACCTTGATCACCTTTGCAATCCTCTGTAACCTTGCAGACAGCAAAAGTGTTTCAAAAAAGGGATTTTTGCTGGTAGTACTGACTCATCGTATTACTTTCAAGCCAATATATTTTAAAATTAGGATTAATTACTCTGATTATTAATCAAAAGGTAAATTAAGAATGAGAAAGAAGCTCTGCTTTGTGTGGGATTGTGTTTTTTTTTTAAATACATATATTTAAATTTGGAGAAAATAAAGTTATTACCGATTGTGGAAACAGATCTATTTGCAAAGTGAATTGAGCACACCCATGATCAGTCAGTGTTGTTGCTTGGTCCCAACTTTCTTTTATTGGAGTCACACGGTGACATGTGAAAGTCAAAGTTTCATTTACAAGAGGTACTATAAAAGTGGAAGTTTATTATAACAATGTCTTACATGAGACAGTCTATGTGGCCACAAAGGGCAAATTATGGTTGGTAATGGTTGTATGCAAATACTTCAGACTCACAAGAAAGTGAAAATGTTTGTTCCTATTTTTTTTTTTTTTTTGGGTCCTGTACCCTAAATATAGGGTACAGGTAATTTGGGCAATAGAACGGCTGGCCTTCTGGAAGTGCCCTGCTGCTGCACTTAATGTTCTGTCCAAGATGGATTTAAAAATTAGATTTAAGTATAAGACCTGTACTCTATATTTTAAAAAAATAAATTCTTCCATCCTGACTCTGGAAAGAGATTGATCAGAAATGGCACTTTGACTTAAGTCAAGAGATGTCATTTAAGAAAAGAGTCTCATCCTCATGTTATATTTAAACGTTAATATGTTATTTCTGGGTTAGAATTAAATAACAATCTAAATTAAAACTGTATTGCTTATCTAGATGTGACGAGCATACTTGTAGGGAGATATCTGGCTGATCAGTCTTATCAATACTGTTGATCATGTTCTAATACAATCAAGAATGAGTTTCAAAGCTCACTGTTGGGTCACTCAAGTTGAAATCAAATACTTTTGAATAGCAATTTTTATTTTTCCACTTTGCCATATTCCATCCAGGATACTTCTTTGTTTAGTGGCTTAAAGCTAATGAAGATGTCCCCCAGCCTATGCTTCCTTTGTTGCTAGTTCTATAACTATAATCTTCCAAGGGGCCATCATTCATCCGTCTTTGGGATGTGTGTGCGCTGTAGAACATTTAATGTTTATGTGTTAACAAGTATTAAAAAGTCACATACAACTCATACCTGTGCTTCAACCATCCACAGGTTCTGGATGGGGAGGAACATATACTGATTTAATCCTTTCAAGGCAAAGTGGTTTTAGATTTGTGTACCTAATGACTCCAGAGAAATATCATATTTGACTCTGAATGGAGTTGTAGCTGATTCCATGCATATGGTTAAAACAGTACAGATTTAAAGTTGGAGATGGTATATGTTGCTAACATCTGGCTGGTGACAAACTTCAGCCAGTTCACTAAGTTATTATTCAGAAAATTTCTGAGTTTTCCTTTGAAATAGTTAACACCAAAAATAGTACTGCTTTAATTAGAAATGTCAAGCATCTGAAAAGGTTTCCACTGGAAATTGGAATACAGTGGAATACAGTGAAGTGATAGTCCCTTCTACTGCTGAGGTGATGACCACTACATGTCAGAATGCTGAGGCTCCCGCGTCATAGCAGGGACTAGAGAGCAGTTCAGTGAAAAAGCTGAAAGTTCTGAACTTAACCCAAGAGATGCCAACTAGAAGATGAAGATGTGTTGGATGCCCTTTAAATTTTGTATTAAGTCTATGCAGTTTTGGATGGGATCCTCTACATGTGTTTGTGAATTTATTTTATCTTTGGAATTCTTATATTTTCTAATCCTAAAGTTGGTTTATCATTGTTTCTATGTAAGGAAAAAAGGGGTGAGGCATAGTTCTATAAATCCCAGGAGACATTGCAGCAGACAGGAAGAATTTAGGAGAGGAATGGGAAAGGAAGCTAAGTGGAGGAGTGATGGGTTACTTAGTGCTAACAAAGCAATTCTAAGCTATTGTTTACTCTGGAGTGAGTGCTAAGAAACTTCTAATCTATTTTCCTTATCAGTGTGGTTGATTTTTTGTTTTTATTTTTAAGAATATTTGGATAATATAAAGGTAAGCAGAAAAATTAACAATGAAAATATTGCAGAAAAGGCCTTTTTTTCCCCCCTTCAAATTAAAGCTACCAGACTTGGGCTCTAAAATCCTGACCATCACTAGGTGACAGCAAAGGATTAGATTTTTCTGCTGCTATCATGCAATCATAGTTTGCAGCCCACATCTGATAGCCCTGTTTCAGTTTCAGTTCTATCCTTTCCTTGTAGTTTATTTGAAAATTCCATTGACTTTACTGAAAACTCATCAATCCAAATCAGTTTACATTAATTCACATGGATATAATAGTTCTTGTTCTAATACGTCCTAACCAAGATGGGATTTAGGAAGGGAATCAGCATCAATGAAACGGATTGTTACACATTTAAGCCCTTTTTTAAAGTATAAAGTAAAGATTCGAGCGAGCCACTCCCAGTTATGCTGTGATAACGACTCATTACTGCAAAATATTTAAATTATTTAATATTAAATAAATATTTTGGCATAATTTTCTGTCCCTTTCGAGGTACTCCGTAACTTTTTTTTTTTAATAAGAAAAGCCAACAAAGGCGCTCGTATTCCTTTAAGAGTAGCTCTCGAAACTT